GAGTCTCATTACGAATATGTCGTACGTATCGCATTGTCACATGCCTTGTAAAAATTCATAAAAATGTGACTGAGCAACTGACGACTGTATCAGCGCAGATTTTCCTCGCGCTTTGGACTTTGAACCCTGGTTAACAAGCAGATCCGCCGCGAGGTCATGCAGCGCTGTCAGAATACATGCAATTCGCACGTGTATTAGAAAATATGACGTTCTGCAGTTTATTTACTAATTGTTTAAGGCCATTTCGCGATTTCAATCATCATACAGTAACCAGCAACAATCACCCCTTCCTCTTCTCATCGAAGACATGTGATGCAGCACTAAACGGTCTCTCGCTGTCGGTGCTTGTAATGATTTTTGCGTCTTTCTCTGACAGTTTAAATGCTTCCACACTGCCGTCATGTTTGCTGCATTATAAAGAGTGCGCGCCTCTCACACTACGCTGGTTGCTATTTGATCGCGTCATGTCATTGTTCGGTACAATTTATTCTGTCTTTTCGCTGAACACCGAAAGAGCATTTTTTTGCTATTTTCGGCCGAATAATTTCGGTTGCCGAACATTCGGTGCATCCTTAATAATCAAATTTCCGGTCACTTTTGGAGCTCAGCCGTATGAATCCACTATCGCTGAATGGAAAAGAGCAGCTCTGCTACAACCATACTTGCATGAATTTTCTTTGTAAACACTTTTGAGCAAGCCTTTCCTTAAAAACACAGCATAGAGCAACAGGCTAGTGAACATCCAGAAAATACATACATCTGCACCAAAACATAGCGAAATACACCTAAAATGTGGCATGCACAATGAAACAAGCTCTGAGCACTGATATAATTCATTGACTTTTCCACGAAAAAGCAGTCTCTGCTGAAATAAAGTGAAAATATAGAAATATAAAATGAATATGAGAATTACATAAGAAGTCTCAGACTGAAATAATCACTGATAATCTTTGAATAATGACATTTATGGTCACTTCTGGAGCTCAGCCATATGAATCCACTGTTGTTGTATGGGAAAGAGCAGCTTAAACATTCAGGCATGACTTTTCTTTTTTAGCTTCAATAAGATGAACAAATCATGACAAAATGTTCACTTTTGAGCACACCATTCCAAATATAGCGTATAGTGAACAGTCAAGTAACAGGCTAGTGAATGTCCAGAAAATACATCCATTTGCACCAAAACATAGTGAAAGAGACTTAGAATGTAACATGTGCAATGACACAAACAGCCCTTTGCTCCAGCACATCTAATTCATTGAATTCTTTAATAAAAGTCATCCATACCACTTGTGCTCTATAGTATATATATACACAGTCTTATGATTCTGAAGTCAAATGACAGCATTGTATGACTGATATTTCAGTCAGTTTTCACTTTTATCATCTTCCCTTTGTGAGTTACGTAGGAGATGTCAAAAAACGTAATTTTTCTATCCTTGAGGCCCATACGAAGCTCAGAGGTTGCTCTTTTTTTGTAACTCAGCAGACTTAATGGAGTTCTCACTGATATTGCATTTAAGTATCATCTAAGATGCTTCTCTACAATGTTCTACACAAGCAACAGGCTAGTGAATGTCCAGAAAATGCGTCCATTTGCACCAAAACATGAAAAACACTTAAATCGTGACATGCGCAATGAAAAAAGCAGCGCTGATCTAATTCATTGAATTATCCAAGAAAATGTTGTCTCTCCCCCAATCCCACCCATCCCAGTCAAGTGGACTGACCCACAGCTCACCCAGAACATGCAGGACAGGCAGACCCAGGTGCGTGCGCGGCCGGCCAGCGCAGCTGGCAAGCTGAGAGACACGGAGGGCATCACGAGATCACGCTCACGGCTTCCTCTCCACTGGATCCCGCACAGGACGCATAACTATTCCACACGCTGGTCCCACAACGCTCCACAGATCCATGTCACGCTGAGGAGAGCTGCATCAAATGCCGCTGCTGTCCTCCTCACCACTCTCTTATTCCAGGCGCCCTCCCTCTCTCCGTCTCTCTCTCTTTTTTTTGGGGTCATGCAGCTCGGCTCCACAGGAGAGAGGGGGAGGTGACTGAGATCCTCTTTATTTCTCCCCACTGCTCTCCTTGTCGGGTTTTGCCCCTCCTCTCTCCATGTCTCTCTTCAGTCTTACTTTCATTCACATCTTCCACCCCCTGCTTTCCTCTCGAACCTCCCCCACAAGCAGATTTTCTCAAAGCACGCTCACTTGTTCTCATCTCCCACTCCTCTTGCTTCTCCCGCAGTTAAATATACCTACAGGAAAGAAGCATCTGAATTGTTTCTTCTAATTAAGTCACCTGCATCTCAGATTTTGCCTCCTGAGAAAAAGACTCAGTAATGTCACACATGTCTAGAGTTTCAGATAAGAGAAGAGATCTCCACACGATCGCCGTGAGTCAAATGACTGAGATTTGAATATGACCTTGACCAGTCAACTATTTTTTCCAAAGGCAAATTATCTGAACAGTAAAATGTTTGTCTGTGCTACTACGAATGAAACGTCACCAACGAGGACTCTTTAATATCTCAATGGTTTCTCATAAGTGGAGATTAAAAAGGAGAATAAATGGACTTGAACGGTTGTTTCACAGATTTTCACCTTTGCAGTGTGTCTCCTAGAATTTTAAAAAGAAATCTCAACAATGTCTCAAACTGTGCTCTGATGCCAAGAGTCAAAATCCTTGAGATTTGAATATGAACTTTACCTCAACTCTTCCGAAGGTATGAATGAGCAATCTCTGAGCATGAAAATGTTCCTTTTGGGGCATGACAGATGAAATATTGCATGTGAGAACTATTTAACATCTCAGCTGTTTCTTCTAAATTGAGATTTAATAAGGAGAGTAAATAGACTTGCACTTTTGTTTTGTAGACTTTCAGCAATCTCTCTTTGCAATGCGTCTCCTCAGGAATGTCAGAAGTAATCAATGTCAACAGTGCTCAGAAGAATTAAAAAGCCTTGCTGTGAATGTGAATGTGAATCTTTCTAAACAAACTCTTCCAAATTCAAGTGACACAAGCTATGAATGAGCATGAAAACCTTCAATATGAACTCAAACATTTCTCATCAGACTATTCACATTAATTTGACTACTCAAATTTCTTACTGGACGCCAAAAATGAGCTGAAGGAGAAAAAAAAAATATATATATATACTTGAATTAAGTTAATATTTCATTGAGAACTTAAGTCTCCTGAGTAATAAAGGAGGAACCAATTGTTCCACACATTGTTCCTCTGGGCACCTAGAAAAGAAAACTCACTAATGACCGCTTTAATGTCTCAATAGTTTCTACAAAACAAGATGGAGATCAGGTCTCTCATATCTCAGATTTGTCTCCTGAGAAAAGACACAGGTAATGTCACATGTGTTTAGAGTTTCAGAGATCTCATCAATGTCTCAAACTGTGCTGTAATTTGTCAAGATACAAAAGTCTGAGATTTTATCATATGAACTGGAATACTTCTCATCAAATTCTTTAAAAGCAAAATTATCTGAGCTAATAACGAGCGATTTCTGAGCAATAAAAAGTTCTTCTGGCTCTCTGAGAAAGAAACGTCACACGTTGGCCTCTCTTTAATGTCTTGTTTCTCCTCAAGGCAAATTAAAAACTAAAGTAAATGGAATTTAAATTTGTTTCGCAGATTTGCAACATTCTCTTTACAATGTATCTTCGATAGAGTTTCAGAAAAGATCTCAACAATGCCTCAAACTGTGCTCAGAACTGACAAGATAAAGTCTGCAATCAAAGACACAGACTCATCTCATCAGATTCTTCATAGACTAGTCACATTACTAAACGGAACTCTTAACACGTCAACAATTGTCTAATTTGTGTCTATAGTCTCATTTTGATATTGTCCCAAAAGAGTTAGCCTAATACTTAAATCAAACATCATTGTGAACTCCATTCAGTCTCTTTAGTTATAGAAGAGCAACCTCTGAGCAATACATTGTTCCTATGGAAACCTAAGAAAGAAAGTGCTTTAAACTCTTAACTGTTTCTCCCAAACAATAAAATTAAATGGAATGCAAATTAAGACTTCAGCTTCTTAGATTTGCAGTAATTCCACATGTGCCTCCTCTAGAGAGCTCAATGTCTCAAACCATGCTCAGATTAGACCAGATAGACATTAGACAGTCTGCGATGATAATTCAATATTAACTCAATTATTTGTCATCGAATTCTACAAGCTATGATCTGTGCTATACTATATACATTAAGATTAGAACTCTACATTCTTACTGCATGTTAATTACAGTCTCATTTGTGTTTTTATGTCTCCTAAGGAATTTTAAAAGAAACAACATCGATTCTTGAGTGACAAATGATTGAGAACTCCACAAGCCTGGAAAGAGAGCAACCTCAGAGCAATGAAATTTTCCTCTGGGTCTGCAAATCTCCTTTAATGCCACGGCTACATGTCTCTGCCCCAGATATCAGCGAGGCTGTGAGCTATTGCTTTTCTGGGGCTGTGATGCAGCCATCAAAGACACAGCAACCCAAACAGCACACAGAGCAGAGCTGAGAGCTTCATTACAGAGGCACATCAAACCTTCACTGACCTGCTGGAGAGGAGGATGGTCTCACTATGGGTGTCTCTATGTCTCAGGATGATGTCTGTAATCCCTTGGTATTTCCTCTTCATCACACTGATGAGATGAAACCTCTCCTGGGGTCAGTCCTGTTTGCTTTTACAGACATTCACCCTGTCCATCATGGCACACGGTGGACACATTTGTAATTGGGGGTTGCATTAGCCACAGACGAGCTAATTCAGGCAGTCAGGGTGCACGAAAATGCCTGTAAACAAGCTAAATGACTAGGGCGGCAAATCTCAGCTGCAGAAACTCTCATGAGGAAGTATTTCATGTTAAAAAAAAAAAGGCAGAGGTGACTCTACAAACTCTACCATCTACAAACAACTTGAAAACAAAGTCACGTTTACAAAGTGATGAAGGCTTTGGGGAAAGATCAAAATGTACCATGTTAGTGGCAATAAATATTTGAAGGATCATCAGAGGTTTTTTTTTGGCACTCAGTAGCAAGTAGACTATATCCACTAGCAGAACTAGTAGAACACACCTAAAATAAATAAATAAATGAATAAATAAATAAAACAACAACAACAATAATAATAATAATAATAATAATAATAATAATAATAATAATAATAATAATAATAATAATAATAATAATAATAATAATAATAATAATAATAATAATAATAACAATAATAAAATATTAATAGTAATAAATATTAATAATGATATGAGTCAGAGTCTGTGTCTGTGAAATGACTTGCAGAATTTCTAATAACAAAATCTTCACACATTTTCCACTTGAACAACTGATTACAGTGGAACAATTATCCACACCGGTCTACTATTGTGGTAAGAAATAATGTACCGTATTGGGCCGAATATAAGACGACCCTGATTATAAGATGACCCCCCTTTTCCAGATGTACCTTTTGGAAAAAGGTTTTTTAAAAACCAAATCAATATAAGACGACCGCATTTTTTCAGATGTATTTCCAAGAAAAAAAAATCGTCTTATATTCGGGACAATACGGTAATTATCTTACATTCCCTAAATGTTATATAACAACAAACCATACCATGGTTGGTTGCTTTACATTTTCCTTTTCTTGTCCAAGTGCATTCCTTAAACAGAATAAACTGCAAAGTGGACCAGACTTTATGCTAATAGTCAAAAATGGAGCTATGTGGCAAAGGTTTGCAAAAGCTGACGAAAAACACTTTCATAGAGCATGGAAGATTCATGCACATTTACCTGAGAGATGTGTTTCAATATTTGCCATTAAATCTGAGGACACTGTATCTGACTGATACCTCGACAACCGCTAATGTCTCTATAGGCAGACTGCAGGCCAAATGATAAAACAGAAATAAGTGTGGGATTATTTTGATTAATTTTGTCACAATGAAAACCTTCTGGTTCCCAACAGTACCTCAAAGCCTGAGGCTGTAAAAGCCTCCATTTTTATTCTTCAAGCAGATCAATCCCTTTATGAGATCCGCTCTGGTCAATAGACCGGCTAAATATACACTCGCAGAACGGCCGCGATGCGCTTTCACTCAGCTCTATTTCGAGAACATGAATCAGATGAGAAGCAATACAATATAGGAAATAATATCCTGCCTCAGATGCAGCGCATTAGAGGAGATTGGGGTCAAAACGGGCAGAAAAGGGACGATTTGAAGAGCTGAGCTTTTCTTGATGGAAGGAACTTCAAGAACACAGATGAAGCTAATGAAAGGGCAGAGTCATAGCGATGGATGACACAATGAATATTCACAGTGTTTTTGCAATAATTTGCTAACGATATACACTGGCAGTCAAAAGTTTGGAATAATACTTTTAATGTTTTTAAAAGAAGTCTCTCGTGCTCACAAAGTCTGCATTTAATTAATCAAAAACACAGTAAAAACAGTATAATACTGTGACATATTATTACTATTTAAAAGCAGGGCAGAGTCATAGCGATGGATGACACAATGAATATTCAGTGTTTTTGCAATAATTTGCTAACGATATACACTGGCAGTCAAAAGTTTGGAATAATACTTTTAATGTTTTTAAAAGAAGTCTCTCGTGCTCACAAAGTCTGCATTTAATTAATCAAAAACACAGTAAAAACAGTATAATACTGTGACATATTATTACTATTTAAAAGAACATTTTTCTATGTGAATATATTTTAAATTGTCATTTATACCTATGATGTAAAGCTACATTTTTAGCATCATCAGAAATCATTCTAATATTGTCTCTGACTAAAATTAAGTTTGATTACAAGTTACAAATGGTGAGTTTGATAAATGACTCATTTGGAATCATCAATTCTGATACAACAAAATACACATGAAAAACTGTTGAAAACATGCTGTTTTACCATTTAAAAAA